TTTATTTCATTCATACAGGTGAAGGCCCTCGTGGAGCAAAAGACAAATAAGATATATGTGGAAGTCAGAGCAGTTGAATTCAGGATACAGATTGTGGCTGGAACAAACTTCCTCATCAAGGTAATTAATATTGTGATTATTTATTTTAAAGAAAGCCTCAGATATATGGACTGAATTGTGACATCCAGGGGAGTCATTAAACACTGCTCCTCACTGCTCAACAACACAAGATTAAGATCAATTTATTTAAGAGTCTAAAGTTCCTCTCTTTTTCCTGCAGGTTGATGTTGGAGGAGAAAACTACATTCATCTGCTTGTCTTCAAGGCACTTCCATGTAATGGAGGTGGGATCGAGCTGCTGAAAGTACTGGAGGACAAAACCAAAGAAGAACCCCTCGTACCTTTCTAAAATGCTCTGCTTATTCTTTCTGAAATGATTCCACACAATACTGCTTTACAATACATCATCGTTGAATGTATTAACATAATACAATATTTGGTGTTTGGAAGAAGCACCTTAAATGTACAATTTTCTAAAGAGATATTAAAGAAAGAATTAAAGTGAGTCTTTATGTCATTTTTATGTAGCATTTGCTTTTCTTTTGTGAAGTCAGGTTTCTTAAATAGATGCTTGGTGGCAGAAGTGGTTAAAAATAAATTCATCCCTTTAGTTTACACAAACCTTAACCTGGATACAGTTGTGATTATGTGTGTGATTCAAAAACCTCATGTTGTGAGTTCTGATTACCCAGACCAGGAAACACTTTCCTATTGTGAGTAACTTCTGACAGGGACCTGGAGAGTGAACAGAATGTCACCAAACAGGGAAACACACTGACAGAAAATCCTGTCTACTTCCGTGAATTAAGCCAATACAGCTACAAAGAAGACTAATAACATTAGAGTCTACAGCCATACTATCAGCTCTGTGAGGCTATACGTGGGCACAGTGGTGCTCTGAGGAGAAAGCTAACAAGAATTGACAATACTAACATCCCAATGTTCACCCTCTTAGCGTAGCATATTAGCATGCTAACATTTGCTTACCAGCAATAAACTCAAAAGTACATCTGAGGCTGATGGGGAGATCATTTAGTTTTTTGGTATTTGGTCCAAAGTAACCAAAGTACTGCACCAAACTCCAACATTATGACCTGATGATGGTGCTAGATTAATCAGATCAGAAATACTTTAATAATCCCAGAGGGAAATTATTAAAGGTTCAGGATCACCAAAGTTATTACACTTCCTCCTCAGTGGGGAATCAACATCTGTAGCAAATGTTATGACAATCCATCCGATAGTTTTATCAATATTTCACTGCAGAAATGTTTTTTTGTGGTGCTAAAAAATTGCATTGAATGCCTTCAAGAGTAGAAGACAGAGTGGATTGATTAAACTGCACCACTTAGACAGACAGTCCTCTAAAGACTCACACATTATTTAAATAACAGACAACACATGTCACTTGAAAACGTTTCATTGTCTTTTTAAAAAAAACCTTGTTTTGTACATGGATTCTCATTAAAGAAGCACACGGATGATTGTTGTTACAGCTGTGGCGAGACAAGAGTCACAATGGAATATAAGTGTGTTGGACGAGAGGTCACAGTGGTCTAAAACGACCTGCAGACTGGACTCAGCAGCAGCAGCAGCTCACAGTTTCAGCTCCAGTCTGGATTTGAACCTTGAATGAAGCAGCTCCTCTCATCAGACGGGGCTTCACTTCACCTTTGGAGGCGTGTAGTGGATTCTGCACCTTTCACTGAAGATCTGAACCAAAGAAAGCAGGAATAAGTAAAATATCAGATAACGACACATCATTTATGTGCGACTGTGGGACTGTAATGAGCATACCTTTAGACTTCTGTCATTGACAACTTCTTCAACACTCAGCTCTGACTGCATAAGCTTTAACTGGAGACAAGGAAGGAAAAATTCACAACTGTATGTATCATTTTCATCCAAATGACGAATGTCTTTCAGTGAGTCTCGCAGCTGCAGGCGGACCGAACTTGTCTGACTCACATCATACAGCTTGGTGGTGTTTGGAGCCCCCTAGTGATAGAAACCGGACTTACTTTGGTCTGCTCCTTTCTGAGCTGTTTGATAAGTGCCAGGTTTTCGCTTTCTTTTGCTCGTTCTTCACGCAGGTGTCCGATCATCTCAGATGTTTGGGCTATACAGGCCTTGATGGCTTTGTCTCTGCTCAGATGTGCCTGCATCATCTGTGGAACGCATGAGGCTATTACTGGAGAGCAGACGCTACAGTACGATATGAAAACACTAGGAGGACGGAGGTAATACTTTGAATGTTTTACAAAACCCACACACACAGACATTCGTTTTAGTCATGACTGTCACACCCACCGATTCATAGAGTTGTCTGCATGTTTGTGTGGCATCCACTTTGCCTGAGAAGGAGACTGTGGGCACGGTGGTGTTCAGGGAATGGACGATACGGTCATCTATGGTGCGCATCAACTTCAGCACCTCCTGATAAACACACAGTGGGGCAAAGACACCGTCAGCAGGTTCAGTTCAACTAAAGCCAGCAAAGAAATGATGTGAATGTCCCAAAAGATTTGTGTTATACTGTAATACAGACATTTTTTTAAATGAATCTCTGTAATCAGACATAGCCGGACATCTTAGAAACAACAGATAAAGGCACTAACAGGCAAAATGAATACAAATTGGCTCATAATTGCCAATAAGGCCCAAACTATTTTTTTTTTACACCTTTGCAAACTCTTGTTGTTTATACAGAGGGTGACTCAAAACAGTGGTCCTGACCTCTTATAACAAGAGTTGTGAGCAAATAATAAAAGTAGGTTAGTTTAGTTGCAATGTAGATAAAAAGATAGATAGATACTTTATTTATCCCGACGGAAATCCAAGTATCCAGTAGCACACAAAATACAAAACATACATTAAACTAAAATTAAAATTAAAGACCCTAACCTTAAGAATAGAATTAAAAATAAAATAAAAGATCAAATATAAAATAGTATATACATAAATAATGTATAAAATTAACAGTAGCTACAGTAAACAGTGCAAATAGAGGTAGAAATTGTCCATTGTCTATTCTCTCCTGTCCTCCCTGCCTTTACTGAGCTGCTGTACAGTCTGACGGGGGGCAGCCAAAGTTGTGAACAAAGTTTGAGACATCTAAAGCGACACTGAATGACTCTCTGGAGACTCTTCAATCAACTTCAACCTGGTGACCAGGTGAGTTCATCAGAGAGCTGACGGCAAACAAACGGTGTGTTTATTTCCAGCCTGGCTCCTTGAACTCTGACAGTGACAGCACACAGTGAGAGCACACGCTCGTTCACCGGCCAGCGCGGGAAATAAACGCCCCGGTAAGTGTTGACATCCCGGGACAGGTGAGCACCTCACACCGACGGAGCCTCCGGTACAAACCGGTACAATTACCTGAAACATGGAGAAGTCCTCACAGTTTAAAGTCCCACCGGGCGCCGCCATGGTGGACTGCTGGGGGTCCTCTCCGACCAACAAGGCGAGGGGACTGTTCAAGAGAGCGCCTGAATGAAACTGAAATTGTGTTACTCACATTCGTTCGCTTGTTTATTTATGTCGGAATATCTTAAAAGTCTGTGTTTGTATTTAAATAAACGCACCGCCTACTGAATTAAGATACAGCACAGTTATATAACTTGTGATAAAATGCTGTGTCAAAGTCTGTTCCCTATCGATTTTTATTTAACCTACGCTTGACCCCAACCAGCCGTCTTTAATGTGCCTTACCATAATGAAACAACAACTCGACGCAAAATCTCATATGAACACATTTCCGAAGGGGAAACAGGCTGCGAGGGATTATTCGTGTATTATTTAGTTTTGGTCAGGCATTCAGCACAGGCGCCAGTGCTTATGTGAAGGGGTCCTGTGGGGCAGTCCAGTTGACTTTCAGCAGCTGACGGAGAGCGACGCAGTTATTGATTGATTGATCGATCGATTGATTGGTTGATAGGTAGCACCGTATTTATTTGAACAGTAAACAAACATGAATTTCGTCAGATCTCGTCTTTTTGCTGGAAACTTTATCGGTTCGTATCGTTACTCTTTAATAACATGATGCACCTTCTCCGGTTGTTAACTTACTCAATCTCTAAATGAACAGCTGGAGTTATATAATTAATAATACTCTTACATGTTAATATATTTGATGTTATGCTCACTGTTTGTTGTTTGACCTAATTGTACGTGCATGACTCGACAGGTAACTCTTGAAGCTGCTGTGTTGGTAGTTGCTGAATTCCTGTATTGTGAAATCTTCAGTTCGTGTTCAGGTTTAATCATCCCATAAAAACGTCTCGCTAAAATACTTTGACCTAGAATTTATTTTGGGATTTATCATTATACGATATCCCGTGGCTTTGTTAAGCTGACACACCTCTGTTTACTGTGAAGGTGGCTCTGTTTTACCTTCATGTGTTAGACGCATTATGTGAGTACTTACCTGTGTAAAATTGGTTGTTGTGAGATTTTGGGCATGAATCTAAATGGACCTGTACTTGTATATTGTGCAGTTCCAGCCACTCAAATGTGATGATTTGCAGTTTTTCTTTGTCTGATAGTAAACTGATGCTTCAAGAAAACTGAGATGGGCATTTTTTGTCACTTTTCTGACTTTTTATAGACCAAATGATTGAGAAAATACTCAGCAGGTATTTATTTTTGCATTTGTTTTAATGTGCCAACAGGTCAGAGGTGCAGACAGGTCACTGAAACATGGAGCCACAGAGGGATGTGCGGTAAACCACAGGTCAAAGCAGAGCCTTCTCCACCTGCAGCTCCAGCACAAGGTAGAGAGATTTTGATCACAGGCAACCAGATTCTCTTGTTTTCTTTGTCTCATACATGCACAACACCACAAACCAAGATCCAGCTCACCTGCATTCATTTACCACCGCTAATTTCCTCTTTTTATCTCTAATCCAGAATAATAGGAAGCTGACGGCTCAAGCAAACCTGGTGCAACACTATAACGTTACATCCAAATTGATCTTTTGACTATTTATAGTTGTTTTTCTCAGAACAAATCAGAGAGATGAAACCTCTCTATATTGATTGCCAGAGGATTTTGTACATCCCAGGTCACTTGTTGCCATAGCAAGTGTGCGAAAGTTTTCTTTAGTCCCAAAGGGAGGAGGGACACAGGAAGTGGGATCACAGCCTGGGGTGATGGAGCTAATGAGTGGGGCTTGTGAAACTGAACTTCCCTGCATTCTCTGTTTTTTAATTTGTTCAAGATGTGGGCTTAAAGCTCTGTTTGTTGTTCTTTAATATAGCAACTCGCGCTGGTTTCAGAGTCCCAGGCTACCGACCCTCAGAGATGGACAAGAAGATTCTGGTGTGGTCGGGACGCTTTAAGACATCGGACCAGATACCAGAGCTTGTGACGTAAGTAGCCTCTTCCTGTTTACACCAGACCTCCCAGTACACTCGCATCTGATTGGCTCTTCTCTCTGCGAGATTTAGTTAAGATACATCACAAGGAGCAGAGCTAACTTAAGTGCATGAATGACAGTGCTGCTGCGGGTAGATGATGTTCCAAGACGGCTGCAGTTCAAACAAGACGTCTGTTTGTGACTGAAGGTAATTAATGTGGCTCCTAACATCAGGGTGGAGATCGTATCTGATCTGCTGCTGTGATAAAAGACCTGATTGTCATGTATACACACTGCAGACCTCCCACCTCCTGCACTCGCAGTAATTGAACCAAGAAAAAATTATATTTATAATTCTGTTGTAATCAGTGTTGACAGAAGGGACAGAGGGAAGCACGCATAGCTGTTGGTGATTGCTGACATTAATGGCATCGTATGAAGGAACACTTTTATTAGTGTGCTGAACAAACCTACACGTTGTTGGTGAACCATGTCTCTACCAAGTGTGTTAGAATATTGTTTTTTTAAAGCATTTATATATCTGGCTACACTGACTTAAGTTTCTACACCTGCCTTTGCCGCAGGTTTGAGATGATTGATGCTGCCAGAAACAAAATCAGGGTGAAAGCCTGCTACGTGATGATAGGCATCACAATAGGGTCCTGTCTGTTCATGATCTTAATGGGCAAGCGGGTGAGTGACAATAAATGACCGCATTATGTTTGCATGCATTGTTTTTCTCCAGTATCAGTTTACACAGAGGGAAATTGATGTTCGCAACAATATGAAAGAGATGGTTTTTCTCAGCATTTTTGCTTGTAGCTTTGTCTTGGTTGACTCTTAATTTAACCATTTTGTTCTACACAGAAACATGTTACTCTTGTATCTTATGTATTTCAGGGAGAATATAAATATGTGGTACATCTGTAATTTGTCTCCTTGTGTTGTAGGCTGCACGCAGGCACGAGTCCCTGACAGGTCAAAACATGGAGAAGAAAGCTAGATGGAGGGAAGAAGTAATTAAAGAGAGGGATGCTGCTCTTACCCTGTCTGAGAAGGCTCAGTGATGAAGGACAACTAGTACCTACCCAACCGTGCCGTTTTCCCCCAAATGTTGGGCCAATAATGTCCCAATAATGCTATATGTATAACAACAACAACTCCAGAGCTCTCCCTTTCCATCCTACAGACTGATCAGAAGATATTAGAGTAGTTCATACTTAGAAGCACTTTTGAAACCTGGAGATTGACTTCAATGATTACAACAACAACTATTGATTATTTAACCATCCGAAACCCAATGTAACGTTTTATCTTTTCAGGGAATGTATTGAGGTTATAAACTGGCACCTTTTTCAGTCGGTAGCATTTGGTCACCAGAGGAGAGCGGAAACCTGATTATGATGTAATAGAGGTTTTGGGTTTTTTATAACATTCTTTGCATTTACTACACAGCCAAATAATATAATGATTTTCAGATAAAAAAAATCTGAACCGACACATTGATTTCCAGCTCTCAAATGCCTTAGGTAGCCCTCTGTTTTTAAACGTGCCTCTGTGGCAACAATCTTTTGCGTTTATCTGCCTTCTGAAGACAGTTCGGCCCTCAAGGGTTTCAAATGATCTCCAATTTTCTTTAAAAGGACATCACAAATTGGATCAGACATGCTCCATTTGCACAATGGTCTGTCCTGATACTCATGTAATTAAGACTGGTTTGTTCATGACTGATGTAACTATGTATGTTTGTATATAGTGAGCACCAAAAAATATAAGTTCAATAAAAGTTCAAGTTAAAGCTTCTTGAGAATTCCTGTCTGATTTAATGACCTGATCTGGTTTCATATAAACTGCAAGTCTAAAGTCATTTTTCACTCTTTATGGATCAAATGATTAATTGAGAAAATATACAGAATTACTACTATTTCTTTAGTTGTACAGCAGTAATTTGATGAAAGAAAATAATTCAACCTGTATACTAACTACAATGAAACTGATTCACTTACACTGTGGTTCATGAAACAGCTTTTATGCAAATGGCATAACAGGGGACAGCTGCACAAACTCAGTACAACAAACAGTAATTAACATGTAGAGCTGGTCATCTCTTGCAGAGATGTTGACAAAAAGTAAGCAATGTAAAGAGGACTTGGTAAACAAACATTCAGTTCTTCTAACTAAGGTGATCACCAGCATTTTCAAGTTTTAATCTGGATTTTTGTTGAAATGATCTGGAAGGATTTCTGTAAAATAAAGATTATGGCACCATCAGCAACATGACAGATGCTAACCCCAACTAAAAAACATTATGTATTTAAAAAGAAACCTAAGACCCAATAGCTGATATATGTGGTGATGATTTGGCATGATCAAATTGTAAAATACCTCCTGAACAAGTGTTGGAAAGTCATGTTTTAGACTCGCAGCTAAACAGCCAATTTTCCAAATGACTTTCATTTACTTTGTGACAATAAAATTCTGCTGAGGCAGCATGATCAACTGATTGTTAATTAGTGTGCTAACAGTTTCAGTCCACAATCTGCTAGAGTCCCTTTGTGGGAAGGGTAAACAGTGAAGTACATTGTTATCCTTGTCATACCAAGAGGGGACCAAGGATTGAGACCATACCTCTTTACGCCTCGCTTCCTGAGGAGGGAAGAGCCGTGACATCAACCAATTAAATAGTTATGTAAAAACTACAGTATATTCTCGAAGAGCAGGCGTCAGTCCTCAACTAAAGTGCTGCAAATGAAATGAAATTATGGTAAGATAATAAAAATTTTCCCTGGTCTGCCGCTAGACAGATTTCAGGGTTAAATAGTCTGTTTTGTCTTGTCCAAGTCTGTCCAATTGTCTCAGTGCGAGGGAAGACTCCAATTCCCATGGTTCCATGGGGTTATTCACATCACACCGGAGGCGGGAGGCAGTCTAAACTCTTAAGGATGGAGCCTGTGCTGGTGGAAAGGCCCGTTACTGGATGAAGGAATGCATGATATGAGATCCAAGAGGGAACGCAAGCAGCCTGGTTTATCACTGACAAGCTCCACCCCTCAGCGACACAGTCAAGTTCCTAATTTGTCCATCTGTGGTCACTCGTCCAATGGCCCGGTGAGAGGAGGTGAGGGAATTCAACCTCCATTTTTGAGTCGATTAAGTGCCTTTTGTAGAGGTCAGTTGAGTCCTTGGGTTGGGACTGGCCATGGTGCCCCGCTGTGGGCAGTTCAGTCCAAAGACCACAGTCAAATGTCTCATAGTCAGTCCAGTGTTTAGGTAAGATCATTCTTGTTTTGTGTGTGTGTCTGTGTCTGTGTGTGTGGAAAGGGGGGGTATAAATCACGTCCATGTTTGTCTGTCTTGCGAGTCATTAATGCTTTAATCAGACAAGCAGTCAGTCCTACAACAAACTCCCGCTTAATTCAGGGATAGGGATCGTCAAATCCTACTGGAACATGGGTAGGTGCTTTTTATTTGGGATGAGCCGAGGAGGAGATCCAAAAAAGTAAGACTGGGGTGGTGTTACAGGTACAGTCTGCTAGTAGGAGACGGCTGGGGCCTGGGCAGGTAGGTGGGGACAGAATGACGAGTGAAACCTTCACAAACTGGCTGACAAGACTGCAGAACTTGACCCACATTGGACGTACGCACACACGTGCTCCCGTAATGTTACATTTTTCATAATCATGATAATGATTAAATCAACCTCTCTGACGATGAGAAGGGAAAAAGAGGAGGGGAGCTGAGGGTCGTCGTGACCCCTTGATCGTGGCAGTGGGCAGAGGGTGAGAGAAATGAGCAGAGGTGAAGATGAAGGTGGAGCACGGAGGGAGGGAGGATTTAGCATTATAGCTGGAAGCCTTCCATCGGGGCCTCGCACTGCTGGAAGAGGAACTGCTGCTGCTGCAGATCGACGGCGGGAGCCAGAGACGGGTCCTCGTCTTCAGTGTTAAAGTAGCGCTCGATCAAGTCGAAGGCTTTCTGGTAGATTTCCTGGTTCTCGTGGCCCTGCAGGAACTCCAACTTGTCCAGACCTGAGGAGGATGTAGTGCTAGAATGGTTAGTCTACTGACAATTAATTTACTGCCAGCAATTAAAGTACGGTAACTCATTTTGTCTTAAAATTGCTTTCCAGTGTCTCAAATGTGAGGATTATCTGGTTTTCTATCACTGCAAATCTTTGGATTTTGTAACAGTGATGTCACCTTGGCCTAATAGGCTTTAAAAAAGATTTTCTGACATTTTCTGGAATTAAGGATTAATCAGGTAATTGAAAAAGTAGTGCAGTTAATTCAGGATAAAGCTGGACTTCTAGAGGCTTCACAGCCTTCAGAAAAGTTAACACGGCGAGGTTCCTCACCTAAAAGCTATCTTTCTAATAAGTATATAATAATAAGAGCTAGTCAACAATGTAAACAAATGTGTAAAACAACGTGTCTTTAGTATGTTTATGTTACCTACATCATATATAGTAGAGGAAAAATGTGAAATATACTAAAAAAGTACTGAAATATACTATACATATGCATTATTTACCACAATATATCTGTTTGGATCAAGGGGTACATTTAGAATTGCTTAAATATAAACACATCATTTGAATCATGTATGCTTGTACACTCACCGTAGGCCTCTTCAATGAGTGCACAGTAAGGGTTGATGCCTCCGCCTCTCTTGGCCTCCAGTTCTCCCAGTCGCAGGATGTTCTCCAGGCCATTTAGAGCCACCTGAACTATTTTGGAGTCCATAAGTGTGAGCAGGTCACACAGAGGTTTTATACAGCCCAGATCCACTAGGTGCCTGCAGGGGGCAGTACACACACACACACAGATCAGGGAACATCATTTTTATTAATTTTCTAACTACTTTTTAAAAAAACATTTATTCATTTGAGTCAGTTTTAAAATACAAACTTTAGAGCTTTAAAGCCAATGCCACAGAGCTAGTACTTTTATAAGCATTATTTCTGGCTGTTAATGCTGTTTTATATCTGCTCTTAGTTAGTTCTTAGTTCAATGGATGTGAGACCTTAGATGTAGCTCTGTATACACTGGTCAGATGCTACGTTTAACTGCATCAGTGGTCTTACCTAATTTGCTCTGCAGAGCCCCCCGAGGTGGCATTGGTGATGGCCCAGGCCGCCTCCTTCCTTGTGCGAAATTCTGCCACCTGCAGGATAGTGATGAGAGGAGGCAGCAGACCTGCATCTATCACCATCTACAAAGAAGGACAAACTTGATTAGACAAAGAAATGCTCCTGTCAACTTTTCAAACCTCTGTACCAAAACCCTTTGTAGGTTATTCTATGGGACGCCCCACAGACATAAACACACATCTACCTGTATTTGTGCTCGGTTCCCTGCGGTGATGTTGGAAATCGTCCAGCAGGCTTCCTTCTTAATAGACTCCTTGGGGCTACTGAGGAGGTGAAGTAGGGACTGCAGTGCTGAACAGTTCAAAATCACCTAGGTAATCACACAAATTACACACAAAGTCAGAAATATTCATCTCTAAGTATTCAATTACCCTCTGGATAAGTATTACGTGTGTGTGTGTGTGTGTGTACATGCTGCCATTACCTGTGTCTGTAGATCATCTCCAGTGACTATGTTCCCAACGGCTCGCAGTGCAGGGGATACCACCTTATAATCAGTGTGCCTGGAACAAAGCGGAATTGTAACGTACGATCACTCAGATGTTGTTTCCAACGCTACAAACTGATATAAAAGTTTCTAGTTTCTAGCGACAGTGAGTTTATGGAATTTTCCACATGGAAATACTATAAGGACTTTTTGAAGTGTATTCTCTCCTGACGTTTGCAGTTAGTAATGCATTAGTCAAACTCAAATGCTGAGACTTTTCACAACACACCCACATCTGGATTGTCACACCCAATGTAGTGGTGACAAATGGTACACATGGGACATTCTGTTACTGCCAGAGTGAAAACATAGCTCTTCTCCAACAATAAATATCTCAGTTGTGTAATATTTCAGAATTGTGTGAAGTATACAGTGTGTGTTTAAAGCCTTACATCAGTAACTCCACCAGCCTGCGACAGACTCCAGAATCAATAACAGCCTGGATTTTGTCATTGGGGCCATCAGATAGGTAGGAGAGTGCCCAGCATGCATCAGCCAGAATGTCTGTGTCATTGACGAACAGCAGCCAAGACAACACACTGAGACACGGAGACACCTGGGGAAAAAGAAATGTGGTGGGAGGGGAACATGTTCAGTGGGAGTGACTGTTTCCCAGGTTAAATATAAGCAACTTAATACAGTTTGTGACCTTGAAATGTGAGATATGATGTACTTCAGCAATGTGAGAGGTTTGCTGTTGCCATAGTGATATGTTTATCTTGGCAAATTACCTTAGTGAAGTCCGGAGGTGGGTTCTTTCCTCTGCACAGGTTTGAGAGCGCCCACACTGCATTCCTCATCATCGTTAGACGATTCTGTTTGGCCAACAACCTGCAAGAGTTTCGCCAAGCATGCTTTACTGAGGATGCAGGGGCAAAGTTGCTCTTTATTTTCAAGCGGAATAAGAAGATTCAGGAGGAAGGCAATGTGACACTGAGTTGCTACTTACTGCACCAGGGAAGGCAGGATGTTGCAGTCTATGACAAAGTCTCTGCATTCTGTGCTATCTCCTGCTATGTTTCCCAACGCCCACACTGCCTGAGGGGCAAAGCAATTATTCAGGTCAGTTGATAAACAACATTACGATGTATTCAATGACAAGACTGTGTTTGATTCAACCAGGCAGGTTAACTACATACATGTTATTTACATCAAATGTGTAATGGGGAAATGAAATCAGAAAGGTTTATGTGACTGTCAGTGATGTCTGAATCCTCCCTACCTGTTCCTGTACGTCCTCAAAATCCGAGCTGAGCATCTCTATGAAAATAGGTACAGCTCCTGCCTGGATCACCACCCGAGTCTGGTGGGATGTTCCTGATGCGATGTTGGTCAACACCCATGCAGCCTCAAACTAAAACAATAGTCAAAATATATCAATTTATTACATATTGATCTCTCAGGTTAGATTTAAACTGTTAAGTATTTTACATTTTCTTTACCTGCACCACACACAAAACATACATACAGTATTTGATATCCACTGTTAGGGCAGGAAGAGTTCACAACAAACAGAAACACAGCAAGAAAAATAAAGCAACTTCGAGCCTCCCCAGCTTAGTCAGCGTGTGCACAGCTGCACTGTTGCTAAGACATACTGAGGAAATGTACCTGCAATGTGCAGTTTTCTCTCCTCTTCAGGAACTCAACAAAGCGCTCCACCACCCCGGCAGTGGCAATGACTTCATCGATGGGTGGGTTGGGTTCTGTGTGAATAAATATTATTATTATGATAGAAATTCCTACCATAGCATTATCTTGATACCAATAGATTCAAATATTTACTCGAGTATTTAAAATGAATTCACTGTCAGACTGAATTTTCCTAGAGGTAAAAATAAGTGTTTTATTGTTGCGTCTGTTATGTTGTTGTTGTCCTTTTTTTGAGACTAATTCTGTTGAAGAAAACTGCCTGTTTTAACAGATTGACCTTGTTTATATAATGCATCAATGTATAATAACCCAGTTCCCAGTCATCCAGCCCTTGTAGAATACGTAGCCACTGTCATTAACAGAGGAGGAAAATATCCATCTATGACACCCTCACCTTTAGAAAGGAGTTTCCTAAAGCGCTGAGTGCCTATTAGCTGCTGCTCAGGAGAGCTGGAGAATATCATCTGAGTCATATCTTCAGAGATCACCCCACCCTGTGAAGCACAAACATTCAGATTTACAAACATTTAGATTTACAAACATTTAGATTTACAAACATTTAGATTTAATAAAACCCAGACAAAATGCCATCACATCCGAAGTCACACATACAGTGAATGTAGATTGATAGCAGGATTGTTTATTTTAGTATCACCAACTGGTTGGATGAATGTTTCTCTTCTCACCATAAGTGGGTCCATGTTGTTAGCCTGGGACTCCAGGTAGCCACTATCAGCCATCCCATCATCCTCTGGGATCCCATCATCCTCCACTGTGGCAACGTTCCTCCTCTTAAAAAGCTGTAATAGAATAATAATAATAATAATAAATTATCTCTTCATTATTACAAGTTCACACCCTTATAGGATATAATTGTCATGATCATTAACACTCTTTATTTCTGACAGTGATCTTTAAAAAGTGGTTACAATTAATTTAATTTACCTCAAAGACTATTCTACCTCCACAATAGTGCATATTAAAACTCTAAATGACTTCCTCCCCTCCTCACCTGTTCATCCTTCTTCTGTTTGCGGAGCTGTAGTCCTTCCTCTTCCCTCCTTCTTCTCATTTCATCTGTGTTGAGGGACTTGTTCTTGTAGCTCTTGAGTCGTGCATTGTCCTTACCCTGACTCATTGTGTAGCCTAGGGAGATGCAGAAAACACATGTTACGAAGACAGACTTAAATAAGGTTGGGAGAAAACCTCTTCACTTCCAAATATGGCACAAAAAAAACAACAACCTTATCTCCCACCACCAGCTGGACAAACATTTATGAATGTATGTTATGTATGTGTGAGTGAGTAGGGCTCCATTCACCAGGTTGGTGTCAAATATAGAGATTACCGAGCCCAATCACAGACTACGTTGATATCTAAACTTCAAATGTAGTTTACATAACTAAATAGGGCATCACTCCTCTCAGCAGTCACAGTCCAACAAATGGGGGCATCTAAGGATACTAAGTTAGCTAGCTGGCTTATGTATCCTAACACTGCGTGGTGATTAATAAGCAGCCAAACACTGGTGATCCGGAGGGCTGTTTGCCCCTAATCCACCCACAAACCAGCAAAACCCAAAACGGTGTTAACCGAATAAAGAGCGGGTCCACAGGAAGGCTAAAGTCATAGCGTTGTTAGCACAATACAGCTACACTGAGCTAACGGCGGCTAGCCCCATGAGCTAACGTTAGCTCTCTAATGCAACCTCAACGTTAGCTCATGCGACAGCCTAATATTCACACATGTTTATACATTATAGCTTCTGGTTGTAACGCGTTCATACACAGAGACTCGTGAATACGTGTAGTTTCTATTAACCGACCTGTCAAATTGGGCTCTTAATCCCCTTATCGCAAGGCCACCGTTTGTACAGCCGTCGCCGGTATGGTACTGCGCATGCGTGATATGAAAAAAAAAACACACACACACACACACACACACTCGACTTCCCCCGCACTTATTTACACTCCGCCCCACCCACGTGACGCTGCTGCTTTGTAAATAACTAGAGAAAACAAGCCTCCACTGTCCACATGAAGCGTCCCGAACACTCTGTGTGAAAGAGAGTTGTTGTTGTTGTTGTTGTTGTTGTTGTTTGTCAACACATATTTGACAACACTGCGGTGGGTGCACGTCTTCTTTTCCGGGCACAGCCGCAGTGGGTGAACGCGCAGCACGCAGCTCCATAAACGACCTGTGCGCTGGGCGATAACAGAAGTTGGACACATTCAAAAAGAGCACCGTGGTCGAGGAGATCCGTCGGCCCCTCAGTTCTGTTGATGAGCACTGTTTGGTGTGAGTTTCTGTGATGTGTGGAGGTTGCATGATTGAACCATGGACATTGATACTGTTTGAGTGGACGAGACAGCTCCGCCGGCGCCAGCGGCCATTAGGTGGAAGCGACGGTGCAGATAAACAACAAACACACATTATATGAGAGGGGCCCACATGACACTGTGAATGTACTGATTGTAACACAAGAGGTTGTATTAAGGAACGTCTGCAGTCCCTTCATGTCACACAGAAAAAGAATAACATAGAAAATAAGCAAAATAAAATAAACTAATTATTTATATACATATGCGTGTACACCCAGGAAATAATTCTGTATTGCTTCTTTTGAATATACATCCGGGGGAATGTTATATATAATGATTATATTATAATAATGTTGTATAATAATTACCATAATAATCACGATTCTCAAATATCACACACATTTTTTTCGGTATGTTGAAAACAATTTACAAACATACTCACAACAGACATATAGTAGATATATATTTATATATTTATGTAGCACATTTCATTGTTTATTCTGGGGGGACTGCTTTATAGTTGAATTAAGGTGAATTACAATAGGAACGAAAATACAGTAATGGCACATATGAAAGCATCCTCGTAGGCACATAACTTATATTTCTGCATAATTATAATTATACATCTAAATTCCTACATAAAATCATACAATATCTTATATATAGTTTTTTAAGTTTGGGTTTACTCTCATATAACTCAGAGTTGTAAACATGTTATTAGCTGCAGAAGCAGTGTGTATGTGTTTGTGTGTTTGTGTGTGTGTGTTTGTGTGAGGGTGGGGGCGGTGTAAGGTCACGTTTTTACTATTGCTGGCAATCAAAAGTAAAATAATGCATTAACTCACTCTGAGCCTCCTGCTTGACCCCTGGGCACTTAAAGCACAGCAGGTGCATTGTCTGGAAAGTTTAGTGTGTTACAAAAAAAGCATCTCAATCTCAAGCGGCACACGACCATGCGCCAGCCCAAAGGCTCCTGAGATGAAAGCAAACCCCTCCAAACTGCACAATATGCCCCTTTTTCTGCAGACACAGGTGCCACCGATCTGCCTACAGCCTATAGGATCCAAACATTGTTGCACTTTAAAGCCGTTTCAGGCGTCTACAAATATGAGATGCTCCAAGGCAAAACGCAAATTTTTTCCTCCAAAAATGACAACAATGCAAAGACAAGTCGGGGTCCGGAGCTCCCTCCTCTCTGACGGGGACTGCTTCGACATGTGGCACGACTACATGAACCTGGGTAGACTCCTGGAGAGGCTGTGCGACAGGCGAGAGAGGGACCACGGAGACACCGAGGGGGCCAAGAAAGATGCACCAGCGGCTCCGTGGAGCAACATCCAAACCTCTCCGAGAGAGGACTTAAAGAACTCCCCAGGGACCAGTTCCGTCAGCAGCCTGTCGGACACCAGCTGCAGCGGGACCTCTTCATACTTCTGCCGCTTCTGTAAGCAGAACGGGGAGTCTGCGAGGGTGTACCGGTCACACAGGCTGAAATCAGACGACGGGAAAGTCATCTGCCCCATCCTCTGGAACTACACCTGCCCCATCTGTGCAGCCACCGGGGACCACGCTCACACACGCCGGTACTGCCCGCAGGCGCAGCGGCAGGACGCTGCGAGGAAGCTTCCAGGGTCCAGGTTCTGGTAGCTGCTAAGACACTGAGAGACTGAGCACGCTGAAAAGACTGTACATAATTACCAAGAACTGTTTTGGTCATGTGTTCATGTTTACACAAACTGTTGTAGGTTCCCAAAGTGTTTGAAATGTTTCATGTTTGACATGTTTGCATTGCATTCTGTCATTCTGCTGCAGGCAGTCGGCTGTTCAGAGGGTACATAGTTTCATCATCAACCTGTCCAGCGTTAAAAAAAAAAGTTTTAAAACATGTTATCAAACCTTTGAAAACTTAAGTGTCAAAAACTGACATTTTGGAAACTGCAAAACTAAAACTGGCTTCTTGTACATCAAAAATAAATATGGTAAATGTTTGTAGGCTTTGTGTTTGCTTTGAAATCGAAAACCAGTTTGGTTTCTGTTAGGTTGTTGGACTATATAGAAAATATATACATTTTCAAAACATATATTCTCTGAATGTTACAAAATGTATCCTAGATATTAATACTATTTTGAAGTCTACATATATGGAGACTCGTTGATCATATCATCATTTTAACCAGTTAGCTACGGCTGAGAGTTTTATTTTATTTTATTTGCACATTCATACAATCCTGCTATGTGGCTACCAAGTATCGTTAAAGTAGACCTAACTATTAGTTTAAAATAAATGATCAAAAAGCACATTTTGTTTGCAAATGTGGTGAAGGAGAAGCAGCATATGATTTAAAATGGTGCACTTGAGTCAACTTACCACTAAAAATATAAATAGTAAATGTACTACATTTATTTGGAGTAAATATTTAATGTAAGATGTATAAATACAGTAATTACAGTGAATAAGTACAGAGTCATAACTTTTCTAATAGCAAAAGCAGCAAGTCAGCATTTCATAACTCATTAATTCATACTCATAAAACAGCAAACTCTGGTCCCACAAACTGCTTTGACCAGGTGATAAATTGCTGTTACTAAACAGGTGTATGAACAATGACCCCTTGTAGACAGAGAGAGAGAGAGAGATATATTATAGATCTTATTGGATTCTTTTAACTAATACTTCAGTGCGTGGGATGCATTTTAATGTTGTAGCTAGCTGAGGAGGAGGTCATTTTACCTTCGTCATAGTTTAACAATAACAATGTGACATATTCTATGTGGTCGTCATATGTTTTGTATGTAAATTCCTCATCAGGGACGAAACCATAAACTGAAGTAAAAAGAAGAACACTTGATTTAGTTACGTTCCACCACTGAAATTATATATAATGTAAATAAACAATTGAGAACATGAAATAAACTTGAGTAACCATGGTTAGATAAAAAATGCAGTTGGGTGATTACTCATGTAAAATTGCAAGATCAGCAGACAGCAGTGAAACAAAAGGAATACTTTTTTTGTGTCCTTATGTAATAGGAGTAGGAGAGTTACATATATGGGTGGAAGAAGTATTCAGTATTAAGTAGTTCAGTAGTCAAACTTTACTTCTACAGTGTCTTATAATCCATCCAT